CCACTCCCCACCCAGACTTCTGACACTTTTATTTGACCTTCACCCCTTTTACTGTCATCCTTTGCACTTTTTTTACAATCATATACATGGCATCATGTAAATATTCATTATGTACATTTGCAAAATCTTTCGTTTTCATTTGATGTTCGAAATTATGTTAAAAAAATGTGATGTTGATGTACTTGTTTTTATTGCAAATAAAAGTATTTAAAAAAAATTACCAAATTATGGCAGCTAACCACTGCGTGGACAAAATACCAGAGAGATAGAAGCTCATTTATTCTTAACATGCCCCACAATACAGATGGCGAAACTAGCAATAGAAAAAGAAATCAAGGTAGACAACAAAGTTCTGACTATCGACGAGCTGATAACTGAATAAAGTACCCAAAAAGACAGAGCTAGACAAAAACATGTATGCCTTAGCAGCATACAGAAAGACATTCTGGCAAGCACGCAACAAAGCGAAGTACGACCAGAAGAGATATAACAACAGAATATTAAAGACAATTTTTTGTGATAGTATGGAAAATATATGTCTCAAAGTTTAGTAGCAAGATTTGCAGAAATGTATGTAATTGATGTCCATATGTAACAAATATGTGAGCAATGTTTTGTTGCTGTTGGTGTAAATAATTTCATAAAAAAACTTTTATTAAAAAAAAGTAGAGCATATTCAATAATAAAACAATGTCAATAACTTAAACTTCAAGAGCTAAGCTCTCGCGGTGTTTAAAAGGAATAATATTGCCTCACATAACACAGTCATCATGCTGTTATTCAGAAAGTGCAAACACAAAATCAGGAGCAAGGAAAGGAAAAACACCTGCTGGAAAATTTAATGATAAACTTGAATTAAATTCTGAAGTTCAAGAATCTCAAATTCAAGGAGAGAAAGAACCTTTAGAACGATTTCCAGACAATATTAACCAAATTACTGGCGAAGTGGGATGGCCAAGAGGCCCTGAACCTACTAGATTCGGTGATTGGGAGAGAAAGGGACGAGTTACAGACTTCTAATGATCTGTGTATTTATACTCAATCATATGATTTACTGATTATATGTATACTAAAAAAATTAATATTTGTTTTAAAAAAAATTAGTACAGCACATCATGGCACAAGGGAAATTCAAGGCCTCAAAACTTCAAGTATCAGGCAAAAAATAAAAAAGAAAAGCATAGCAAACCTAAAGAAGTTATAAAAAAGGGTCACCTACAGATAGCACAAAAAAGGCACGTCTTGTAGAAGTTGCAAAGTTAAAAAAGGATTTGGAGAAGGGTATCAGAGGGTGTATTGTAGAAGTTACAGCAAAAAGTTTCCTTGGAACCAAGATCTTTAGCCACGATAAAACCTTCCACGTCAAAGAAAACAAAGAATAAAATAAGTACAGCATACCAGGTAGAAACATACAAAACCACACGCACTTAATCAGAGACATCATACATTATAGCACGCAGAAAGACACACAACTAGCGATTCTTAGCATCGACCAACAGAAAGCTTTCGATAAAGTAGATCATACATGGCTAATGAAAACAATAGATGCTTACAACCTTGGACACTATTTTAAAACATGGATACAAATAATATACAACAATTCACATAGTCATGTATTAATAAACAACAGTGTTACAAGCGCATTTCACATACAGAAATCAGTTAGACAAGGTTGTCCTTTATCTCCCCTACTATACATCCTTAGCTTAGAACCTTTACTAGAAAACAATAAACAGGACAACTCGATTAAAGGACTGTACATTCCAAACACGGTAGGCAAGACAATATTCAAAACTCAAAAATACGCAAAACTAATGGGGATAGATAAATGGAAAGGTAAAGTTAATAATAACAAGGACATCACAATAACAGACAAACTCCCAAACTCCCAAAAATAACGACCGATAAACTTGGGCCACACCGAAAAATGAAAATAATTCACAAGCTGGAAAAATACCAATACTGCAATACAACCATCTTTGCCAGACCTGCAATAGTAAACAGATACATCATTCCAAAAATAATTTTCGTATCGAAAAACTCTACAATACCCAACTCGTTTATTAAACGAACAAACAAGCACATTAGAGAATTCATTTTCAAAACCACTATTAGAAACATTAGCCACAAAACCTTAATACAAAACAAATTAACGTGAAGAAGGGGTCGCGCATAACGTAATAAAGAACGTCAAACGTCTGCTGCTGAACTTGGTCATATATATATATATATATATATATATATATATATATATATATATATATGAGTAAACGCACCGGGTGACACCCTAAATAGCGACGCCACTGTATAACATTATATTGGTTATGGTGTGAGTACAACTGTCGACATTTGACCTTATAACTGGTCATCTGGGGGTCAGAATAGGATAGAATAATATAGAACTCAGGGGATAGTGTGTGTGGTGTGTGTGTGTGGTGTGTGTGTGTATGTGTGTGTGTTGAGTTAACCCCTGGGTGTTTATATATTGTTATCCCAAGGTCGAATGTGGGTATTACAGGTGTGTGAACGATTGTGTGGAGGACTTAGGTGGTAAGGTAGTTGGTGGTGTTTATCGACGTGTGGTTGGACGAGGGAGGTGAAGGCGGATAGCGAGAATGTATAGGAGAGGTGTAAACACGTTAGGCACTACCCGTTGGAGTGGTTGTTTTTGGGGCGATTCAGGCAGTGTGAAATGAATGAACGCCGACCGTAACAATAACGTGCCTTATGTGAAACGTTTGAGATGTGGAGAGATGTGTTACATGATGGTCACAGATGGGGAGAGATGTGTTACATGATGGTCACAGATGTGGAGAGATGTGTTACATGATGGTCACAGATGGTCACAGATGTGGAGAGATGTGTTACATGATGGTCACAGATGGGGAGAGATGTGTTACATGATGGTCACAGATGGGGAGAGATGTGTTACATGATGGTCACAGATGGGGAGAGATGTGTTACATGATGGTCACAGATGTGGAGAGATGTGTTACATGATGGTCACAGATGGGGAGAGATGTGTTACATGATGGTCACAGATGTGGAGAGATGTGTTACATGATGGTCACAGATGGTCAAAGATGGGGAGAGATGTGTTACATGATGGTCACAGATGGGGAGAGATGTGTTACATGATGGTCACAGATGTGGAGAGATGTGTTACATGATGGTCACAGATGGGGAGAGATGTGTTACATGATGGTCACAGATGGGGAGAGATGTGTTACATAATGGTCACAGATGGGGAGAGATGTGTTACATGATGGTCACAGATGGGGAGAGATGTGTTACATGATGGTCACAGATGGGGAGAGATGTGTTACATGATGGTCACAGATGGGGAGAGATGTGTTACATGATGGTTAATGATTTGGAGAGATGTGTTACATGATGGTCACAGATGGGAGAGATGTGTTACTTGATGGTCACAGATGTGGAGAGATTTGTTACATGATGGTCACAGATGGGGAGAGATGTGTTACATGATGGTCACAGATGTGGAGAGATGTGTTACATGATGGTCACAGATGGGGAGAGATGTGTTACATGATGGTCACAGATGGGGAGAGATGTGTTACATGATGGTCACAGATGTGGAGAGATGTGTTACATGATGGTCACAGATGGGGAGAGATGTGTTACATGATGGTCACAGATGGGGAGAGATGTGTTACATGATGGTCACAGATGTGGAGAGATGTGTTACATGATGGTCACAGATGTGGAGAGATGTGTTACATGATGGTCACAGATGGGGAGAGATGTGTTACATGATGGTAACAGATGGGGAGAGATGTGTTACATGATGGTCACAGATGGGGAGAGATGTGTTAAATGATGGTCACAGATGGTCACAGATGGGGAGAGATGTGTTACATGATGGTCACAGATGGGGAGAGATGTGTTACATGATGGTCACATATGTGGAGAGATGTGTTACATGATGATCACAGATGGTCACAGATGGGGAGAGATGTGTTACATGATGGTAACAGATGGGGAGAGATGTGTTACATGATGGTCACAGATGGGGAGAGATGTGTTACATGATGGTCACAGATGTGGAGAGATGTGTTACATGATGGTCACAGATGTGGAGAGATGTGTTACATGATGGTCACAGATGGGGAGAGATTTGTTACATGATGGTCACAGATGGGGAGAGATGTGTTACATGATGGTCACAGATGGGGAGAGATGTGTTACATGATGGTCACAGATGTGGAGAGATGTGTTACATGATGGTCACAGATGTGGAGAGATGTGTTACATGATGGTCACAGATGGGGAGAGATGTGTTACATGATGGTCACAGATGGGGAGAGATGTGTTACATGATGGTCACAGATGTGGAGAGATGTGTTACATGGTGGTCACAGATGGGGAGAGATGTGTTACATGATGTCACAGATGGGGAGAGATGTGTTACATGGTGGTCACAGATGGGGAGAGATGTGTTACATGATGGTCACAGATGGGGAGAGATGTGTTACATGATGGTCACAGATGTGGAGAGATGTGTTACATGATGGTCACAGATGGTCACAGATGGGGAGAGATGTGTTACATGATGTCACAGATGTGGAGAGATGTGTTACATGATGGTCATAGATGGGGAGAGATGTGTTACATGATGGTCACAGATGGGGAGAGATGTGTTACATGATGGTCACAGATGTGGAGAGATGTGTTACATGATGGTCACAGATGTGGAGAGATGTGTTAGATGATGGTCACAGATGTGGAGAGATGTGTTACATGATGGTCACAGATGGGGAGAGATGTGTTACATGATGGTCACAGATGGGGAGAGATGTGTTACATGATGGTCACAGATGGGGAGAGATGTGTTACATGATGGTCACAGATGGGGAGAGATGTGTTACATGATGGTCACAGATGGGGAGAGATGTGTTACATGATGGTCACAGATGGGGAGAGATGTGTTACATGATGGTCACAGATGGGGAGAGATGTGTTACATGATGGTCACTTACCGCTTCAAGCCACACGTTCGTTGTGAGGACTTGGTTCTTCTCGTCCTGTAAAGGGGGGAGGGGTGAGTGGGGGTGAGTGGGAGGGGAGAATATTACTATATTAATAAAATATATGAATAGAAAAGAACTGATAACATACACATATATTTACCATTTGTACGAGTGGGTATACCGTTTGGATAATGATGAATTTATGAACAAATAAGTTAAATTAAATGGTTTATTTTTGGCTTGCTTTATATATCCACACACCCAATATTTATATAAATAATAGCCTCATTTATCCAACTGACCACTAAATAAACACGATCACTATACTATAGTGACCCACTGATAAGCCCTAAGCTATTCGCGATCTTGTAAGGAAATCCAAAGGTTAAACGGTTTGTTTGTGTTAGTTCTCCTGGTACCATTCAGACCTCAGACGTAAATAATCTCATTTGGGCAGAGTCAGCGTGTGCCAGGGGCTGGAATGTTCCTAGATTCTATAAGACCTTTCCCTGACCATTCCCCTCAGTTAACAGGGAATTCCCGCTAACAAAGCATTTCCCAAGAGAGTTGAGGGACTAATATGACCTAGTACATGAGACTATTGAATAAACTTTGATTTAGTAGGTTCAGTGACCTAGTACATGAGACTATTGAATAAACTTTGATTTAGTAGGTTCAGCTACTGAGTTGGGAACGCACTTTCTCTACATAATCATAATTAAACTACATTATGAGAAAACCTTACATATAACACAATACGTTACATAAGTATATAGCTTGTATGTGAATCTACATCGTAGATATACTATGTTTGGATTTTTAACATTTTAGCTGTATCTCTTCAAAATTATTCATTTAAAATTATGCAGTAGTGTAGTTCCTATTATAGTTCCTAGTGTGTTGTTAAATTGTGTTAATTATTTACATTTTGATTTTTTTTTAATATGTGAAGTAATGCTAGGCCTACATTATAGTAGGCTCACTATTAGAATGAAAGGTGTAGCAAAACATTCCTGTATTTTAATGAGAGGGCTACCTGTATGATGATTGCTACCTGAATAGGTCTAGTGGCTACCATAAGCCAGATAACAAATCTATGTAGCAGGCTACGTTGTGGTTCACAAACTTACCAAACGCTACATCAATTATAGGAATGAATATGCGTGGTTAGGTGGTAGAGCGCACGGTTTTTATCACTGAAGTGACGAGTTCGATCCCATGCGAAGTCTGTATTGCTAAATCTACTCAGTTTAAATGGGTACCTAACTCAAGTACGGTAAAGCAACCGGCAAAATCTGCTTTGTCAGCACCAATGACATTTAAAGGAGTAACTACTGTGTATGATTAGCATGAAGATTTTATTAACAAATTATTGAGGCAATTACACAAACATGCTATTGGTTGATATCCATACATTTCTAATTTAAACCTTAGTCTTAGCTATCCCGTACTATAACCAAAGACCTCACCCTAATCGTCATAGGTCTGGTCATATCAATAATATATTGCTCTGCCTTCATTGACTACGTCATCAAATCATTGAAACCAGAAACTCACAAGGTCCAGTATCTGCGTCAGCGTCAGCCCCAGCTTGACGTCAACAGCTGAAGTGGCGTCATACACCGGCCTGACGCTGTTGTCGTAGTTCCTCACCAGGTAGTTCATGAGCTTCTGCTCACTCGACTGGAACAACGGCTCGGGGTCGTCATGCTCCAGTAGCTCGTCAGACAGGTAGGTCGACCCGTCCGGCATGTCCGTGTACGTCTCCAGGGTCAGGTTGTCGGGGGTCGTGTTCTCGGGGGTCGTGTTCTCGACCCCTTCGACCCCCTGGGCTATGATAAAAATGTCAGTGTTAAGTTTGGTCAGCCATACCAATATACAGTATCAATGTAATGTCTAATAGCAGTTGATAAAATCAAACTTTGAGCAAGAAGAGCTAGGGTAAATATTAAATTTAGGCTTAGAAATGGATTTATGTATATGTCTCTTCTTATTTTTAAAAGTAAAAATTTAAAATTTTGTACATTTCAAGACCTAATAGTCAATTTGGTATGCGAAGAGGATGTGTGGTTAGTAGAGTTCACTTGTTTCTGTGACCTCGGCATATGAGGTCAGTGGTGGGGTCAGCACTATGTCAGCCACCTATGTTTAAACCCGGATTCGAACTCGAGACTTTCGGGTTAGCAGTCCAGCTCTCTATCGCTAGACCACACCGCCCCATTATATACCTGCTATAGCTACGTGTTGAGTCGGGAGATTTTTTTTCATCAACCATAGCCAAGGTCTGTCTAGTCCCACAACAGTTAAACCCTACAGCTGACATTTTGCCAGAGTGTTTTGAAAAGAAATCCCATTCGTATTAATTAATCATCAATACTTTTTGAATAATCATTTACTTTATTTATGATCGAAAGCCAAAATCAACTCATCCAAATCTTAGTGGAAATCTAAACTATTCCACAATGAGGAAATCGAAGTGAACTATGACACGAGATGAGCCATGTAATCGAACACCACATCAATAGGTGCAGGGGGGGGGGGGGGAGAGAGAGAGATCTGATTGACTGACGCGAGGCTTTTGATCCTCACCCAATATCAATCTTCAATGAGTTGACCAATTTATTCATAACCTGATGATCGTTCAGTGTTAACTAGGCCCAATCCCCGTCTAATATTCACGGGGAGCAAATAAAAAAGATAGATTTGCAACCGATAATTGCGTTTATTGATCCCCCTCCCCATTCATGCTGTTTTTACGGTGGTAATGATCCAAAAAGATGCGAAGAATTTTCTGTGAGTGTCTCGGGAGTTATTTTTGGTTTCTGAGGTGCACCTTTTAGTAGCATGACGTCACATTTAGTTATAGAGATGCTATTTATAGTAATAGGGGCGCCATTTTCAGCATAATCGGTTCAACTTTAGTAGCCCGGGCGCAACTTTGAATATCTTTGAAATCGTTTTTAGTATCATGATAGCGATATTTTAGTAACTTAGGCGCCATGCAACCTACCTCGGGCGCCCCTTTTAATAGCATTTACACCCCTTTCAGCAGCATTGGAGTTAACGTTATTTCCACTACGCCGTGCTGAGGAGTAGCGAGAGGGTGGGGGGGGGGGGGCGGGGGGTACATATGTCCCCGGGCGCCGACCATAGGGGGCGCCAAAATGGGTTGAAAAAAATTAATAGCTCATTTTAGCTGCAGTTTTGCATTATAAATATAAAAAAAATATATGGGTGGGGGAGGGGAGGGGGGTGGGGGGCGAGAAATTGAAAGTTTGTCCCCGGGCGCCGGGAAGGGTCGCTACGCCTCTGACGCCGTGTGCTTATTTTTAAAGCATGCCCCATCCGTTACATAACATCCTTAATCCACACCAAAACCCTGCCCTACCATAGCTCTAGTTCTGGCTCAAACACTCATTCTGATATTTGATAACACAGTACAGCCAACAGCATTACTCATGTATCCCAGAGGAATACTTCAACAGCCTCATTTAAAAATTTAAACCAATCTTAATTATCTAAGTTCTTTACGCAAAACCAATACAGAGATATGACATAGAATATCTGTTTAAATCTTATAGATACCGAGAGTTAAGTCCATATTTGAATTTCATATCTAAATCACCAAAAATTAGAGTTAAATACATGTCTAAATCTTTTATCTAAATCTCCAAAAAATTGTAGTTAAACCAACGTCTAAATTTCTTATTAAAATCTCCAAAACATTAAAGTCCATGTCTACATCTCTTATCTAAATCTTTAAAAAATATGGGAACATTCCTCATCTAGTTTTATCCGGCATGTCGTGGCTCATATTACCCTTTGATCCATCTCATTCTCATCCATATCTTGATGCAAATTTCCCTTCCTACTTAGTGCCAGCGATGAAACGATTGCATACATTCAAGATCCTCGCCGCTAGAAAAACATCCAATTTTTACGCAGAAGGAAAGCAAATAGATTTAACAAACAAGGAAAAGAATTTACACTTTTAATTAATTCTGTTCAAATAAAAATATAACTTCACTGAGATTATTTTTTTTAAATTCAGACATGCCAAAATCAATTAGCAACGATTCATTCTGTGTTGCCTTTTTTTAAAACAACATATGCACTCCTGATTAAAGCAAGAATTTCATAAAATGCAACAGAAAAATAAACGAAAACAAAACTGGCCGCGCCCTATGTGTTGAAAAACAAACTTGACCATATGTGTTAAAAAAAAACGCCTTTGCTAAGTTTCAATGTGGTGAATAAGCTAAAGGGTAGATAAGAATATTTTGGTTCGGAAAGTGTCGAGGATTAGGTAAGGGCTTAAGATTTCGATTTGGATTTTTATCCCGATATGCTAACAAGCACGTTTATCTGACGCCTTGGGTTTGTTTGTGGAGATTTCTGTTTATAAATTAGGTCATTACTAGACCGGGGATTTTGTAGGTTTTCGGTTCCTGGGAAGTCTTATCTCACCATCCGGCATTAGGTTCCTTATCTCACCATCCGGCATTAGGTTCCTTATCTCACCATCCGGCATTAGGTTCCTTATCTCACCATCCAGCATTAGGTTCCTTATCTCACCATCCGGCATTAGGTTCCTTATCTCACCATCCAGCATTAGGTTCCTTATCTCACCATCCGGCATTAGGTTCCTTATCTCACCATCCGGCATTAGGTTCCTTATCTCACCATCCGGCATTAGGTTCCTTATCTCACCATCCGGCATTAGGTTCCTTATCTCACCATCCAGCATTAGGTTCCTTATCTCACCATCCGGCATTAGGTTCCTTATCTCACCATCCGGCATTAGGTTCCTTATCTCACCATCCGGCATTAGGTTCCTTATCTCACCATCCGGCATTCGGTTCCTTATCTCACTATCCGGCATTCGGTTCCTTATCTCACCATCCGGCATTAGGTTCCTTATCTCACCATCCGGCATTTGGTTCCTTATCTCAGCATCCGGCATTAGGTTCCTTATCTCACCATCCGGCAATATGTTCCTTATCTCACCATCCGGCATTAGCTTCCTTATCTCATCATCCGGCATTAGGTTCCTTATCTCACCATCCGGCATTCGGTTCCTTATCTCAGCATCCGGCATTAGGTTCCTTATCTCACCATCCGGCAATAGGTTCCTTATCTCACCATCCGGCATTAGGTTCCTTATCTCACCATCCGGCATTAGCTTCCTTATCTCATCATCCGGCATTAGGTTCCTCATCTCACCATCCGGCAATAGGTTCCTTATCTCACCATCCGGCAATAGGTTCCTTATCTCACCATCCGGCAATATGTTCCTTATCTCACCATCCGGCATTAGGTTCCTTATCTCACCATCCGGCATTAGGTTTCTTATCTCACCATCCGGCATTAGGTTCGTTTTTAGCCAGCCGGAAAAATTCCACTCCTCCCCTTTTCAGCCGGCAAAAAATCCAACATCTTTTCAACTGAAGACTAAGAAAATATTCAAAGAATTGTTTCAAAATGAATAAAATTCGAGGGTTTTTAATCACTTTCTAGACTCTCAAAAAATTACCCTTGACCCCTGGTCAGATGACCTCTAGTTAATGACACTTAAATTAGAACAATCAAACGAAGTGTGATGGCCATCTTGTATTTAGTGAAGTGCTATAATGTCCGCTTACACCTTGTCTAAACAGCTCTTGTAAAATTTCGAATGACTATGGATAGTGTTTATTTACGATCAGTTATTTATAACCAGAGGTGAAACTTTAACGAAAGTTTTTATTTTTCTATAAACCTAGATCTCAACGATTCTGCGGCGTTGTTACCCACATTGAGCTCGTAATTTATCTGTCACCCCCCCCCCCTTAAATGTTATATGAAACAGGTATTTCATCTCCTGGTTTTGAAAGATGAACCAATTCCCGCACGCCCCTAAATATGTAGGTATAAACAACAACTACCAAATCTACAGTCGTACATATATTGTCCTGTGTCTCATGTTTAAAGATCCAACAATAAAGTTGATTGTTATACTGTATTTATAATATATTTATATATATATATATATATATATATATATGTGTGTGTGTATGTGTCTCTGTGTGGGTTATGTGTGTATGTATGTGTATGTGAGTGTGTATGTGTGAGTGTAAAGTTGAAACTCTCATCTTCAACAAAATAAAATCCTGCCTACGCTATAAAGGAGATGTAGAAGGCCTACTTCCCAACAGACCAATGTTACACTAACCGCCACAACCAAATGTGTTTGAAACTACGTCGCTGCAAAAACAAGCAACATCAGTGTTAACTATATCAACATTACCCACAATCTCAGCTGCCCATTTAACGTTGTCTAAAAATAACCGCAAGCTCTTCTCTGTTGACCATTCAAAATGCAGGACATTGATCTAACTCGAATTTGATTGGTTCGCTCGTAGCACGTGACATGATATTGCAATTACGGAAGGTTTTTCGGGGAGTTTATTTGTGTTTCTGCAGACAGAAGAAAAAAATCTCATTTTTTTCTGTCTGTGGGGGTATATACTGAATTTCGTTTTTTGTTTTGTGGGAAGTGCGGGGGAAGGGATTAAAGTTTTTTCGAGGGGAATGTCTCTTTTTGTTTTAACTCCGTAAACAGTCTGTTGTCGTCTTTTTTTGGACTCCGTCCCATCCCTCCCACCCTTATCTATGTCAGCAAATCTGCAAGTTAACTAGAAATTTTGGCTCCGTGTTTGTGTATCTGATTCCGTGTTACTGCAGTACGTACGCTGGTAATGTTGCTGTTTTCAATGTCTGTCTTTACTAGTATAAAAATCTTACGGTATAGGTGGCAGGTGAAGTAGAACTCACCTTTTTCTAATTTATCGGC